ATTAGAAAAGATCTAGTGAATCATCATGTAAACTCAAGAACACATGAAGTAAATAAATCTGGGTTTAGCTCTCATTAGTATTGATAGAAAGAGTACAAATGGGTCTTGCAATTTCTCTCTCTAAACTAATGCTCTCAAAGTGCTCATTACATAAATGAGTGTCACTCACTTCCTATTTATAGAAAAGACAACTCATCACACAATACAAGTTGGTAAAGCACTAATACATCCAAGAGTGACTTTGCACCCTAACACTTTTTTTACTCCAGTATATTTGTCACTTTTTTTATGTATAGAGTAACTAATGCGTCGAACTCAATCTTCTATAGTCACGCCTCCCAATTAATAAGTGGTTGAATGTTCCGCTAAAATCTTTCAGTTCACTTCAGCTACTTAATTATTAGAAGGTGTGGAAATATGGTTTCGAATAGTCACACGATGAACACCTTCAACTACTTAAAATATTGTATGAGTGACTGTTCGTTTTCGGCGTCGAGTAAGCAAAGCCCATTTTTGTAGTAGTGATAATAATAAAAATTAGTTGTGCTTGAGGGCAAGCAAAAAACTTGTGTGGGGTAGTGTGATAACGTCTATTTTATACATATATATATGACGTTTTCTTATTATTTTATACTATGCTTTTATGCTATTTATAACTAAAAGGTACTTATAATGCTTTAATTTATATTTTACAGGTATAATTTGTTGCTAAAGCGGAAAGGAAGCGAAAATGCTGGAAATTGGAGTTGGATTGCAAAAAGGAAGAGATTGGCTGAAGCATCCTTTTACGCCCAGCGTAATGGGAGTACGCCCAATGTATGTGGCTGGGTGGCTAAGGGTCTAGACGCGATTTTTACACATTACACTCAGCGTAATGATATGTACGCCCAACGTACTTAGTCGGAAGAAAATCCTATATCTTGCGATTTTTGGTTAACCTAAAGCAAGATTATGACTTTTATCTATCCTTGGTCAACAATAAACACTTCTTCTGCCGTTTTGAGGGTCTAGAGGCGGCTGGAAGGCCATTAAGATGATAGGAGTGAAGATTTAAAGGATTAGAGAGTGGATTCATGCCTTAAATCATTTGTATTTTTGTTCTGATCATTATTAGCATTCCAATGTGATTCCATATGCCACTAGTTTCAGATTTGGGTGTTAAAACCCTTTGCTTTGTGTTTATGACTAGATGAATCTTTGAGATTATGTATTAATTGCTATTTGGATTGTTAGTTATTATTTAATTTATTTTGTCAACTTTGATTGCAAGATCCATATGCGTTAAAGATTGTTACTTTATTCCCTATTGCTGAACTAATAGAGTTTAGATGATCATTCTGAGTGTGTTAATTTGAATCATAGTTGTCCATGATCATTGGTAATTATGACTAGAGTTAGATCAAAACCTAGGGTTAGGAAATAAGGTGATAAACTTTAATGTGTGTGCATGAGTAGATGATCATTATATTCATGATTTAATTTCTATGATCATTAGGATTAATAAAGATCAAATATTGCTTAATACAAACTAAACACCGATTTGCATGATTGTTTGTTCACTTGATCACTGAATTAATAGTTTTATTAAAATCAAAGGATTAGTAGTCTGGTCATGATGTTGGTCATATTAGGAATCGGTGAATAATGAGTAAATATCCATTGCATGTAGTAGTTAGCCAGTATTTTGAGATGAAATCCAGTCTAAACAAAAGTACCTAAAGAGATTTGTTTCCATTCAATTTATCGAGATTTGCTGTTTAGCTGTTTGATTGAGATTTAATTCCAATAAGCCCCTCTTTATTGTTTTTGTGTGTTTAATGTAACCTATAATCAAAAAATCCAAATTAATTCACTTATCGTTCCCCTTGTGTTCGACACCCGGTCTTACCACAACTATACTATTGCACGATTAGGTACACTGCCTAGTGTGTTTATTAGTCAGGTTGCGATAAAATCAGTTTTATAAATTTAAAACTTGAGCAATTAAAATATATACATAAAAACACACATCAGAAGTATTATAGATATGATGGTTTATTGGTCTTTATAATATCCTACTTTCAAAATTTTCCTATTTCAACATTGTACTTTGAGAAATCTTACCAATTTATAGCTTATTCTTGCATTTGTGATGAATAGTTATGGCGTGTTGAAATCGGAATCAATCTTGCATTTGTTGATGATTTACCCACATGGTGGATATTGTTGATTAGCGCATGCTATACGTTTTACCCCTAGGCGTGAAAATAAGTACACCTCATGTATTGGATCTAATATATATAATAGCAATGTACTTTTGTTACTTGTTTAAAGTTGTTAAAAATATGTAGTTTCTAATTCCTTTTTCTTCTTCTCATAGGCCACTGATTTACAACTAAGACAAACACAACTTAAATAGCAATTGGCGGATTTTATGAGATAATTTAACACTTGGTAATCCAGCAAATGGTTTTAGTTGTTAAAAAATTATTATATTTTGTATGTAATTGTATCATTTTGATGTATTAGATGATTTGTATAGTATGTCTATTAATTTAAGTTGTTTATCGTAATAACGTACATGATGTTAATTGAACAATATTTGACATATAAATGATTTTAAGTTGTTCAACAATAGTCATGACAAACAAAAAGTGTGATCAAATGTCAATAATAATCACCGTTTAATCTATTGTGTGTCACTAAAAGTCAATAATAGTTATGACAAACAAAAAAGCATGTGATTAAAAGTAGTTTATGGTCACGTGTTAATATATTATGTGCCACTAAAATTCAATAGTAGTCATAACAAACAAAAAAAAAACATGTGACTAATTGTAGTTTATGATCACAGTTTAATAAAAAATGTGTTATTAAAAGTCAGTAATAGTCATGACAAATGAACGAAACGTGTGACTAAAAGTAGTTTATGATCATGATTTAATATATTACGTGTCACTAAAAGTCAATAATAACCATGACAAATGAAAAAACATGTGACTAATATTAGTTTAATGGTCATACTTTAATCTATTATGTGTCACTAAAAGTCAGTAATAGTCATGAAAACAAAACAACTTGTGAGGGAAAATAGTTTATGGTGACGGTTTATAAAAATGATTGAAAAAACTAAAAAATTGGTACCTTATGGGGACGGTTTTTACATATAGTAATGGTTTTTATGTGTTATAGTCACCACAATTAAACGTCACCATAACTTACCTTTAATGATGCGACCTTTCCATTCACATTGAATGAAAAAAAAACACGTCATAAAATGTCTATAGTGACAGGTTTTTTGCGTGGCCAAAGACCAGTTTTTTACTAATGAAACAACATTGAATAATTAATAACTTTATCATCTGCCAGTTTACCTATTACACGAGTAACAATACTCAACATGTGTTTGCGATACAAAAAATGATCATTACATAACTCTACTTGGCATAGTAATTTCCATCAAGTTATCTACTAATAGATTGAAAAGAATAATCTTTTGGAGCCATAATGCGAATAATCAAGAGAAACGGGTATCTAATACCAAAACAAAAGCAGTAACAAGAACAAGAAAAACCCAACACCGAACGATAACAACAACAACAATGAGATCGAAAAGCATACCCAAAAAAACGAGATCAAAAAGTATACCCAACAAAGCTTATAGATTGAAACCAATCTACTATATGGAAAACAAACCAAATAAGGACATTTTGATCCATGATATTGTGCATCCTATAAAGTTTTCCACAATCATAAAATTAACAGACATGAATCGAATAGCGCTCTAATACCTCGTGTATAAATTGATAAAAAAAATCAAAGGAATAAAACTAAGGTCTATTATTGAAAGAAAAAGTGAATTACAACTATACATACATAAATAAGGAGGTATATATGGTTAACTTATGGCTAAATAAAAGGTCAATGAAAAGAAATACGTAACCCAATATTTTTTAATATGCTAACACTCTACACCATAAATATCTATTAAAATATACATGTACATATGAAACCCAATATTTTTATTATGCTAACACTCTACACCCGTAAATGTCTATTAAAATACATATGAAGTGTATTTGTTACTAACACCATATGTCATTTAATATGATAGCCATCATGATTTTGCGTGTGTTACAAACTCATCTAAAGCGATATTTGTGAGCCTCGATTGCAATTCACATGCTAATAAGAAACATACATGTACCCACATTGATTATGATGTTACGATAAGCATCAATCAATTACGATGAGGGTGTTGAACTAAGTTAATAATCATAAAACTTAATGACATTACGTAGTCAAAATTATAGTTTACAGTTCCAACTATAAAAACCAAACTCTTCTAATGTTTGATAGAACGTAATAAATACATGATAGATAGTTAAAATATGAAAAGTTGCATGTAAAAATAAAGTATTAGTATGATGTTTAACATTTTCCATGTCAATCGTGATGGTACGTAGTTTAGTGGTGGTGTACTGTAACTCCACACAATAGATCACAATAGATCTAGAGGTCAAATTGTGAAACACCCAAAATTGTTTTATGTTATGTAATTGACCTTCAACATAAGTTTTAGGACAGTTTAACCTCGATCGTTAAGATAATGCGGTTACCATTTTATTTTATTTTACGAGATACATAGTAATTATAAAATCTATATTATACAATTGAGTACCTTGAAGGAGAATAAAAATGTGAGATTCATTTTTATAACAAATAAATAGCTTTAACAAAAACTTCTAAATCTAAATAAATAAATAAACAATAATCTAGTTTAGGGACACTATATTTTTCCATTAGGATAAGTAATAATAATTATAATAATATAACCAATTATTGAAGAAACCATTCAAATTCACGACACGTGGACCTTGGCAGTTGATGGTTGGATCGACTTTATTTCTCAAAGTTAATTGTTCCATACCGTTTCTAGTTTCTACTATCCTTCTCAATATATAGTATTTCCCTTCTTCGCCCACTCTCCACAAAACCAGTTCTTTAAACCACCACCACCAATGGCCACCACTTCTCTCCACCAGTCCAACGCTGAAAGCGCCACCACCGTCGAGATTCAACAACCGAGTCACCCACTTCCTAACTTTCTCAATAGTGTTAAGCTGAAATACGTCAAATTAGGCTACCACTACCTCATGAGCCACCTTGTTACCCTCCTATTCCTCCCTCTTATCGCCGTCACCGCTGTCCATGCTTCCCAGGTAAACCTTGATGAAATCGGAAAACTGTATTTTCATCTCCAGTATAATTTCATCGCCGTCATGGCGTTATCTGGAGTTGCCGTTCTTGGATCCACTGTCTACCTTATGAGTAGACCAAGACACGTGTACCTTGTTGATTACTCATGTTACCGTCCGCCGGAAAACTTGAAAGTCAAATTCGACGTGTTCATGGAACGCTCAAAACTGCATGGAGGTTTCAATGAGTCAGCGCTGGAGTTCCAAAGGAAGATACTTGAACGTTCTGGTCTTGGAGAAGAGACTTATCTCCCACCGGCGCTGCACAGCGTTCCGCCGGAACCATCCATGGCCGCTGCTAGAGAAGAAGCGGAGCAAGTTATGTTTGGAGCTCTTGATAATCTGTTCAAATCCACCAACCTTGATCCCAAAGATATTGGAATCTTGGTTGTGAATTGCAGTCTTTTTAATCCGACCCCGTCGCTATCTTCCATAATAGTCAACAAATACAAACTCCGGGGAAATATTAAAACCTTTAACCTCGGTGGTATGGGGTGCAGCGCCGGGGTGATCGCCGTTGATTTGGCCAAAGACATGCTACAGGTACACCGTAACAGCTACGCAGTTGTCGTCAGCATGGAGAACATAACTCAAAATTGGTACTTCGGGAACAAAAAATCAATGCTGATCCCAAACTGTTTATTTAGAGTCGGTTGCGCCGCCGTGCTTTTATCAAACAAGTCCACCGATAAACACCGTGCAAAATACAAACTCCTTCACGTCGTACGAACCCACCGTGGATCCGATGACACCGCATTCAACTGCGTTTACCAAGAAGAAGACGACACCGGAAAAGTCGGAGTTTCACTATCCAAAGACTTAATGGCCATCGCCGGCGGTGCATTAAAAGCAAACATTACCACTTTAGGCCCACTCGTCCTTCCGATCAGCGAGCAGCTTTTGTTCTTCGGAACCCTAATCGCAAGAAAACTAACAGACTCCAAATTAAAACCTTACATACCGGACTTCAAGCTTGCGTTTGATCACTTCTGTATTCATGCCGGCGGGAGGGCAGTTATAGACGAGCTGGAGAAGAACTTGCAGTTGTCGGAGGAACACGTGGAGCCGTCGAGGATGACGTTGTATAGGTTCGGGAACACGTCATCAAGCTCGATCTGGTATGAGCTGGCTTACACGGAGGCTAAAGGGCGTATGAAGAAAGGAAACCGTGTTTGGCAAATAGCTTTCGGCAGCGGGTTTAAATGTAACAGCGCCGTTTGGGAAGCCATTCGAGCCGTCAAGCCGTCGGATAGTAACCCTTGGGCCGATTGCATTCATAAATTCCCTGTAGAAATATGTGTGTAAATGTATTATTTTAGCGCTGGAGAATTATAAAATATCATGTATACCCTAGTTTGATTTGTTTTTCCAACTCTTGAAGTAAGTATGAATGTATGATTGGGCTTATTGAAATTAAAGGGTTGTATACTTGTATTCTCTATTTTTTTAATTATAAGAAAATATTGGAAGTTGTTGTGCTCATTAACAGTAGTCAAAGATGCATGACGTCGATTTTATATATAATATATTTTCTTTCGTGTTAAATTATAGACTAATGATGGTACTGACGTTGTATCTTTCCCGTTTGAGTGATATTTGAATATTTCTATTAATATTTAGTTTACGTACACGTGAAAAGGTGATACAAAGAAATGAAAATGAAAGAAAGTTATTTGTGTTTATCAAACTAATGTCAAAACTAATAATTTTATTTATAAGATGACTTCAAAGCTAGAATGTGAAATTACCATTGAATATGGCTTTTCCTTTATGAATTGTACAGTTTCACTCACAGTAAATGCTATGTTGGGTCGATTAGTAACTCTATGTTAGTCATTACATAAGACATGGTCCGAATGCCTCAAGAATGTGTTGTGTGGTAGCGATTTGATACGGTTGGTCGAGGTCAATCCCACTTAATACATGATTGAATAGGATTCACTATCTGCACTTGCAGGTTCTTCAAAATATTTTATATGCATATATATACCACCAAGCTACCGCCCTCTTAAAGGCTACTTATGTCGTTTTCTCGATATAACTTCTCTTGTCCTACTATATTATGAGAAGTAGCTGTAACATTGTCATCTTATCTACAATCATTAGGTCGGTAGTGTTTGATATATAAATTCTAAATCAGTTCGTTGTCTACCTCATGTTCGACATTATGAGGGTGGACGGAGAGGGGTTCAGTTTGGGAAGAATACGGTGGTCGACACCTGCCATACCGCCGGGAACACAGCTCCGCTGTTGCTGGTGTCTAGACGGTTTTAAATATGTTTGAGGCCCTGGAAAAAAAAGGTTACCAGTTACACAAAGCACATATGACTAATGGTTTGATTTTTGGGTTTTAGAAAAAAAATTTTGTATGTGTTGCTTTGTTTATCTTTATATAAAAATCACAAAAAAATCGTGTGGAAAAAATGATATCATTTTGTATATAAATTTTAATTATTAAGTATATTAGAAATTAGAGCTTGTGGGCACAGGAACATGGCCCACAAACAATTTAAAGAGGCCCAATTTTTATTTTGTTTAGAGCATGTGCAAGGTGGGCACAGGAACATGGTCCACAATTTAAAGAGGCCCAATTTTTATTTTTTAATAGTATGTATAGTTTAGCCCAATTCAAACCTAAAGCACTCCAACATCATCACTTCATCGTACGGGAGAAGCTGTGTCGAACAGAAGCCAGAAGGCAGCGATCAAGTTGCCGTTCACAAATTTTTTTTTTTAAAAATAGCGAGCAGCGCTCAGCTTCCAGCGACATCAACTCAGCAAGACAAGGGTGAGGGGTCGATTATCACTTTATGATTCTTCAATCTTGGTCCTGCTAATCAGGTAATACCGATACTGTAATAGATTATGAGAAATTGAGGAATGAGGATTATCAGTGTAATTATAAGAGTCAATTGCATACTTGAATGTCTGAATGAATTATAGAATAAATAGATTATCAGTTTCTCAGATTCATAGAAATCAGTTTAATAGTTTATCAATATGTCATATTATGAGATTGAAATCTAATTGACTGATTCAATCAGATTATAGAATGTTGAATGAATGATATGAAATAGATTATTAGAAACTGAAATTAACTTATGGTATTATGTTTACTTTTGTGAATCCTCATGCCCTTGATTGAAAAACTTTAAGGATAGATAATATTGATCGTTTTAAATGCTTTTCTGCTAGATGTTTGATATAAATGGGTGCTTGCCGGTGGTTCAAGGGGTTAATCCTCATGAAAAGAAAGAAAAAAATAAGACCCAAAAAAATCGAGTTTATTATAATTCCCTCTCTGACTTTTGAGGTCAAACTAAACACTTCCTGATTTCAAAATTGACACAATTTACAGCTTTATTTTGATACTGCTACATATCTAACTTCAAAAACTCGTTACCATTTTAAGAACTTTTATCTAAATTACCATAAATTTTAGAAGATTTCATAAGCATTTTGAAGTTGAACATCATATGTTTGACCTTAAAAAGTCAAAACAGGATACCAAAATAACAAACAACATAAAGGGCTCCTTTCGGGTTATTGAACGAAGCACATGAAAAAAAGAATTTGCTGCATTTGAATCCAAACAGCATATCGGGCACATCGAGCATAAATATAAATATAGATATAAATTCTTGTACTTTTTTATACTAAGAATATATTTTCATGTACTAAAATTCTATTTTTTGAAACAAAAACACGCAAGAAAAATTTTACGTTGCTTAAAAGGAATATCAAGATTTTGTTCATTGATTTGAGCCTATTGCTTTAACAAAACAATACTCATTACATGTTAGGGTTAGGGGCCTTTTTTCCCCGACTCGTCCTGGGCATTTGAATCCTCAGGACCGGCCCTGGAAATTATAGTTATTATTATGTATTATCTTTCAATTGAAAATAAGATAACTAACAAGTAGTATGAGTTTACAGTTTATATAAAAAGCTAACATATAGTATTGACAAATCTTTATAAATAAAGTTAATCTTTATTTATTTATTTATTTATTATTTTGTTATATAAGTTCCATGTGTTTCGATTTTCATCATGGTTGGTATATCATCCATATAAAAAAATTATACATTTTTTAATTTATTTTATATTTTTATTTAAAAAACTAATTTAAAAAAAAAAGAGAAAAAGAGAAAAAAAGAAGTCACAAGAACACCCCACTCTTCTTCTTCCCCAACCCGTCTGGTCGCAATTCTGCCTCGAGAAGCATCGATTTCCTTTTTATGAACAGTCCTAGAAACAGTTGATTTTTCGATTTCTACAATCTTCAACCTCAATGGCAAACAATGATCCATAGAGAGGAGGAAACCACCAAAGACAACGGAGCACAAGTTGCTCCGATCGTCAAGCTTGAAGAAGTCGATGTCAATACTGTGTAAGAAGACAATGATGCTATTCTCAATCTGTAGTATATCCTTTTTGATATGATCTTATTTTGCTTTGTTGTTTATTATATGGTTTTGAGATTAACCTTCAATTTTTCTACTTTTTAGTAAAGTCAATTTATATTGGTTTGATAACGATGGAAGACAGTGGAAAGAAAGAGGTGTCGATTCACATATGTTATGTTGTGTAGTTATACCTACATGACTGTTCAAGCACATGCTGGAAACGATAAGTCATGTGGTATGCGATTTTCGGTGACGCAACTCCCCAAGCCTCTTACTCCTTGAGTTTGCTACTACGGAGCAGGCCCATATGACTCAGTACTTGAGCATGCTCAAGACGGATATTCGACAGTTTGTGTCTACCCAGCGATACAGTACTCAATGTAATCACATAAGACCCTCAAGTCACGCATAAGTACCACTCTAGGTAAAGTATAGTGAGAAGACTCACCTTGCGAACAAGCAAGCAAATATCCTCGAACTCGAATCTCGAACTAGCCACCGCCTAACACATAGTGTAAATATCTCTAATTAATACTCGATTCTCAGCTATAAGTAACCACATGTTATTCTTCTCTCTCTAACTCACGAATTGGGTAAAAGACCATATTACCCCTCCATGGTCTCCATTACTCATGTTGACCAAACCCTAAAGTCAACAGAAGTCAACTCGAGTCAACAGTCCATGTTTGACCCGACTCGTCGAGTGCACTCTTGCGACTCGTCGAGTCCCCTCGTTTCCTCAGAAGTCTCAAGAAAGTCCAGCTGAACTCGTCGAGTTGACCCCCAACTCGTCGAGTTATCGCACAATCAAACCCATCGGGGCAAACCCTCACCGACTCGTCGAGTCGGCTCCTTGACTCGGCGAGTCCATTCGGACTCATAACTCATCCAGTCGTTTTCAAGGCAGAGAACCTTCCCAAATTCTAGATCTGCACTCCTAAGTCTCATTAATCACGTAAAGTCACATGCTTTATGTTCATACATGGCATTTTGAGCTTAAAATGCCAAAACACACCTCAAAAAGGGGTTTTCACTTAAGATTACTATTATGGTTGGATAAAGTGGGGACTTTTGGACTCTTGGGACCTCACATGGTCCAGATCTGAAGTTTAATCCCTCTCAATGAACATAAAACACTCAAGGTCCACATATTTAGGTGGAAAATCCCTAGATTCATAAAATCATGATATCTATACAAAATAATGAGAAAGGTGCAAGCTTTATACCTTTCCCAAAAGCTCTGAAGAGGAACAATATCAGATCTAGCAGCACCTTCTTGTCCCTTGGCTTGGAATTCTTCTCTCCTCTTCACAAGATGCACCAAACACTCACAATTAGCCAAGCACTCTTTCTCAAAGCTCAAAGGTCGTCTAGGGTTTGTTCTCAGGGAAGTGTAGTCGCAAATGAGGCTATAAGTGCCTTTAAATAGTCCCCAACCCTCGGAAATTAGGGTTTCTCTACCCAACACCTACTTGGCGAGTCATCTCTCTAACTCGTCGAGTCCACTCATTAAATCCATGTGGCCAACCCAACCCTACTCGGCGAGTCGGACTCACAACTCGTCGAGTTACTCCATACATCTCAAAGATAAACACATATTAATGCATCTGAAAGTCCGGATGTTACAATTCTCCCCCACTTGAATTAGATTTCGCCCTCGAAATTGTTTCTCGACGTCACATAGATCGAACCCAAAAACCCGAAAAGTACCATCGAAAGGATCTCATACCACACAACTAACTTCCTCCATAGACACCTGAAACCAAATAGGAACTCCCAAACCCAAAAGAGGACATACCCTTCTGCTGCTATGATACCCCTTTTGACTCACCAGAATTTGAAAACTCTAGTGGCCTGTCTCTCTGCCCGACCGCTCTCTCAAGCTATCATCATGTTAT